GACCAAAAACTCAATCATGACGTTCCGGGCTGCCTCATCGCAACCGATGGTGACAGGAAGTGTCACCTTCCCATCTGGATAAGTTGAAGCCCCATTGAACCCGGATACCGGATAGGGTACCGGCGTAAGGTGCTTGGGCTTCAGCTTAATTTGGTTGTAGGCCTTTCGGAACAGAATGTTTGCTCCGCTGCCACCGTCAACAAGGACCTTACTGACGTCGTGGTTGGCCACCGTGGCGATGATCACCAACGGATCCTCGTGAGGGAACGTAATCCCCCGGCAGTCGGCGGCTGTGAACGTCATGTTCGGCACCGGCGACTGGGGAGATTGAATGTCAGCGTTGTTCACCTGGTGAGTCAAAGCTCTAAGGTGACGCTTGTGCTCCCTCCGAGAGTATATTCCTCCCGAGATAACATTGATCGGAGGGAATTTCCCCTCCGGTTTTTTACTGTTTTTCCGGGGGAAATCAAGGTCCTGCCGAGGGTCCTTTGCTAGCCTCTCGGATTCTTTTTTCTCGCGGTGATCCGCGATGTATTTTTTCAAGTATCCCTTCCGGACCATGTCCTCTATCTGGTCCTTCAGCTGGATACACTCTTCAGTGTTGTGGCCCGAAGACTCGTGGAACTCACACCACTGATTTTTATTTTTTCGCTGATACCACTCTGGGAGTGGTCTCGGCTTTCGGTAACTCTGCTCCTCCTTCGTCACACTGTAAATTTTGGCGCGTGGAAGAGAGAGCGGAGTGTAGGACTCGTATCTGCCTGTGTATGAGGCAAACCTGTCCTTCTTTAGGTCGCTGGCCGAAGATGGCTCCGAGGCCTTTGATTTTCCCTTTGCCTTATGGCCTTGGCCTTCAGACAAGGGTATTTGCCTCTGTTTCCCTCCCCCGGATTGAGGTTGGGTTTTTGCTTTATTCCATTCTTCGGCTCGGATGAACTTATCCGAAGCACTAAGAGCTTCCTCCAAGGTCTGCGGGGTATGCATGACCATGAAGTCTAGGAATTTTCCTGGCTGAAGGCCATTCTGCATTGCAAAAACAGCTAGCCCCTGGTCCAGCTGAGAGACGCTTGATGACTCGTTACTGAAACGGGTCAGGTAGTCTCGGAGGCTTTCGGTTTCCCCCTGTTGCAGACCCATGAGCTCTGCGGTAGTCTTTTCTCGGCGGTTTGCCGTGGAAAACTTGCTCCTGAACTTGGAGGACAGATCATCCCAACCTGTTATGGAGCCTTGCCTTACTCCCTTGGAGATCCACGCTTGCGCGACCCCCTTGAGAGTGGTTGGGAAATATTTGCACCAAGTCGCCTCGGATCTGGGGCAAAGATGCATATGAGTCTCATACGAGGCCACGTGGTCCTTCGGATCCGTGGTCCCGTCATATGTGATATGCGACGGTATTTTAACCGTGGGTACGCGCTCTTCCAGTATCCATTGCTCGAATGGTGAACTAGCGGGAAGCATAATGGCCTTGCCCTTGTTCCTGGCCGAAGGGACCGCGCTCCGCCCTCTTAGAGAGGTAGGAGTGGTTTTCGTCCCTGGCTGGGAAGTCTGGGCCTCGGCTGCAGGGAACGAGAGGCGACTACGCACGCTCGGTTCCTGGCCGCCGAGTCGGTCAAGGACGCTTCTGCGAGCAGTCTCGGGTTCCCGGCGAGTAGATTCTGGCCGAGAAGCTGAGCTGCCGCTCTTATGCGCTGCTGGTCTTGAGGATGAGGATCCTTTAAATAATTGAGAGTTCTTCTTCCTCTGTTTTTCATTTTTCCAAGAATCCTCCTCCCACTCTTCCAGTTCCCGGAAGGAAGGAAGCTTCCCACCGTCATGGTCTAACTTCCTCCGCTGATGCCGGGTATGCGGAGGAGTTCGATCACGAGGCGGTGGCATATTCTGTGCCCTCATTGCCTCCATGAGTACTGCCAGCGCTCTTGCCACCTCTTCCGAACTGGGCCCCGTCAAAGGGGTCCCCGGCCGAGTGTGGGCATGAGGCCGTGCAGCCGATGGTTGGCTTCGGGACACCGAATATGTCCTATGATCAGACTGACCCCTGCTAGACCGAGAGTGGTCCGGCCTATATTGGGAGTCATGCATTATAGGAGATAGGGAATCCTCCTTGTGTGATCCTCCCCCCGAGCCGGCACCCTTGGGAGAGTTCCGGTCCGGCGAGGGCGATGGTGTAGGGGTTTTAGGCTTTTCGCCCGCTCCTTGACGGAGGCTTTTGCTCTTGCGGTTCTTAGCCATGGCTGCTAAGATAATTGCAAGATGATCTTGGTTAGGAATTTGGCTTAAAGATTTTTGAAAGTCTTCCCCACAGACGGCGCCAAATTGTTTCGGTTGAAAACAATGGGACCTTGCCGAAGGTCCACTGAAATGGAGAAGACTGGATTCGATCCAAGCTGTGTTGGGCCGAAGGTTTCCTGCACAGTGAACACACGTAAACTAGCCTCGGGGGTGTTTCCGAGGAAGGCCCCTCCGATGCTAAAGTCAGTACAATGTGTAAAAAGGAAGACACTATGCAAGAGAGTTTGTAGCTTGAGGCTTTTGTGGAGTATTTCTCAATGCAAGAATGAGCATATGAATTGGAATATCAATGATCATATGTCATAATGTATCTGATCTCCCCTTGAATGTGTTAATATGAGGGCTTTTATACCTCATCATACTTGGAGAGGTTGGGCTTTAGCCCAATTGGCTTACTTTGTGGGCTGACTTTTGACTTTTGAGCAATTGGAGAGTTGAACCTTGACCTTGGGCTTTTAATTGGATCATTTAGTGCTCAGGCCCAATTTTGACTAAATTGGACCCAAACAGTTTGAAATATAAACCAAGCAATTATTAGAACGTATATCAATTTAATTATTTGAAAAGGATCCTTAATTATTTCAATCATTGCTTTCATAATCTTTTCGTATAAAATTATGCAATATTGAGTATTAATTGTGCATCTAATAGACACTAGTAAGCAGTTTGCAATCTTTAATTTGATTGGTTGGAATGTTGGATGGCTTGGGCCAGGGACATCAACTTTAATTTATTTCTCACGTTTAATAATATATATGGTCATGAGGTGTTTAATTAGTGACCAAACATTACTCCATCTGAATATAATAGGTACAATTTTATGAGAGAAAAACAAAATTGTAAAACCTTATTTAATATAAATTTCTATGATCAAACAAAAAATATGTTTAAGGTCATAGTTTTCTTTTGAAGATATTTTCAATAGTAATTTTGACATGTAGTGAAGTAGCTAGCAATCGGTTTAAGTATTAGTTTTACATGTATATTTTAAAAAGGTATTTTTCAACAAATTACTGCTCGTAGTAAATTATTGACTATAGTTTAAATTACATACTCCATAAAACAATGGAGAATTGAATATTTTCGATTTAAATTTAATTTAAAAATAAACCAAAACCTAACTCTAGAATTGAATTGGTTAATGCCTTAAATGTCATAATTCCTATCTACCTTGTAATTAATGGAGATCTTTCCTTTCTGAATCTCGATTTTATAGTGTGGTCTAAAATTTTGAGGCAACTAGGCCTACCAATAATTAGTATAATGTACTTGTTATGATATAAAATACTTAATAACAATAATACAGTATATGCAAGCGTGTAATGTACCTTTCAAAGGAGTCAATCCTCTATCAGCTAATGTCCGATAGTGGACGTAGGCCAAGTACCCACAACCGCTAGTTGTCCAAAACGCTATTTCTGGAATCCCAAACGCCTCAGCAGCCTTCATTGTGAAGGACATACAACCATCAGCCACGATGCAAGTCACACATGGACCGCCTTCCTTATTGAGTTTTGTAATAAGGTCTCGGAATGGGCCGAGGCAAGTCTTACTAGTGGACTTACATAGCTCGGGGATATCCTGGGTGGCCTCCACGCTGCCTTCAGATCGAGTAGGCGGAGAGAGGCCATCCGGGATGGACTCAAAACGGAAATTAGGAAGGCCGTCTAGGGAATGAGGACCACAGGAGTGGAGGAAGCGATTGTGGTTGTAGATGGTATTAACAAAGGTGATATGAAAGCTATTGGAGTGGAGTAGCATGGCAAATTGAAGCATAGGAGTAATGTGGCCTTGTGCTGGGTAAGGAACACATATTGCATGCCCTCTTATACTCATTGTTTTTTCTCTGGCTAGCTTTTGTTAATGTTTAGCTATCGGCTTAGGATTTTATAGCGACTTGCAAGTTGCAACGTCTATATAGGGTTATTGTAAGGACCTATATATTATTAGTATACTCTAGATACATAATTCGTCTAGAAAAAACCAAAAAAATAATAAAAAAATAAAAAATAAAAAAAGGGTACGGAGCATATAAGAATTAATACTATTTAATAAAAAACGTGCAATTTGCCTATAGTTACACTTTATTGTGAGAGCCAAATAATTGAAGTGTGTACATGTTGGTGAGAGTGTGAGACTAGTTTCACTCAATATATGGCCGTGAGAGTGAGAGTGAGAGTGTGAGACTAGTTTCACTCAATATATGGCCGTGAGAGTGAGAGTGAGAGTGAGGATCGTGTATTAATAAATACGCGGTAAGATGTTAGGTATTTTATTCATATTGGCGTTACTTATATATACTGTAGGTCTATCTAGGTGCAGTCACTCATGGACAATTCAACAAATAAAGCTACCAATTAATAAATAAGAATTTATTCTAATAATAATATTATAAGGACGGAGTACTCCGTAACTCATAATGGCATTAACAAATCATATAACAAGTCACCTTATAAACAGAGAAGGAGCCAAACGTTGTGCTGAGCTTTACAATTACAGTATTCGAGTTAAAGGACTTTCTTTAAAACCCTTTTTTCTAAAATTTAATTACACTTCAATCCGTTCTGGTTTGGAGTAGATTTGACGGGATTTGAGGCTTTTAGCAGTATTTTCTTGACTTTTCCTAGCTTATCTTAACAGCCTGTTTTCTAATTTAGAAAAATTTAGTGGAGATTAGAGATTGATAGAGAATAAGAGAGTAAAAAACAAAGGACAAGAATAACAGATGATACCATTTCTCCAATTCCTAAGACTTAAAAAAACAAGTTTATTCAATTCCTACTCAATACAGCCTGAAGTTTGAGATTTCTAACCTCATCAGTCAGACAGTCAGACAAACATCTGCTTAACCCCTCACCTTTTCTTTCTCCCACTTGAAACTCAAACATCCTTAAACTTCTGTTGTATCAACAACTGAGCTTCTTCAACAATCTTCTTCACAACTTCCCCAGCAGGTAGAATTTCCTTGATGAGGCCGACACCTTGCCCTGCATACATCCCCATACTCTCGATATCACCTGTCGTTGTTTTGTTAGGCACAGTTCCTGCAAAACGCCTTACCTCCTTTTCCTGCAAATGGCAAGGGAACCTGTCAACTTAGAAGAACTCGATAGTAGCTCAGAGTGTTACATGTCAGCTGAAGCAAAATCCCTTTGTATTAAGCTAAATTCCTTCTTTCCTTTTCACACTTCCTAATAGCAATTGCAGGAGTGACTAGTGAGGGAGGTGGGAAATATTATTACCACTCCATGAATTGTTGAGCGCCCAATGACAGGCTGGTTTGTCTCATCTTCATTCTCAGGAAGAGATCTCCAGTCACTAAAGAATGGAGTTAATAAGACGCGTTGTGGTGCTCCAGGCCATCTTGCACGACCAAATACATTAGTATACCTCAGTTTTGGAACATTCAATTAACTTCCTCTTGTACACAGGATGAGCATAACTTTCTTCAGTTGCGAGAAACCTATACCATGCAGATGATATTAGCCTCATCAGACATGATAAAAAAATGATAAAGAACATAAGCTTTCAGGAGGCGATAACATTGTTTATACAATCAACCAGTTCACATATAGTGTTCAATGATAATCCGTACTTGCAATCTGAAAAATTTCCATTAATATTCACTGACTAGTTCGGTGAACTAAGTTTGAAGTATTAGTACTTCTGAAACCCATTAGACTCCTTAATAGTAAGCCTTTCTGCTTCACGAAAAAATACCAGTTATTTCATACCTAGTGCCAAGGGCAACACCTCGTGCCCCAAGGGCCAAAGCAGCAACATAACCACGCGCATCCACAATGCCACCTGCAGCAATTACCGAAATATCTCGTTCCCCGATCAGGTCAACTACTCTAGGCACCAAAGCAATTAACCCTTCCTGTAAAAAAAATGGAAAAGAAGAGTTTGCTGAAAACTAGACGTAGAAAGAATCAGATAATTAATATGGGATGCATGGGAGAGTACAACAGCATCAACATGAAAGTTGGAACGTATGAAGGAGTCAACAACATGTATAGCATTAAACCATTATAAATGTTCACAAACTGTTAATTATTTCCACTTCTAAACATCATCTGTAAGACAAGACGGTAATAGAAATGCTAAAGGCAAGCAAATAATAAGACATGTTATATTGCTTCCTTTTCTACCATGAGCAAAAACAGAGGTCAGAACTCAGAAATGGTCACACAAACAATTTTCTACAATACAAGGGCCAAAAACTACAATGACAATTTGAAATCAATGTTTCCCCAATGCCTCTAAAAATCCTCACCTTGAACAGGATATGGGAACTGGGAAGTGAAATACATAACCTCATCTATAATGACAGAGGCACTATTTTAATTGACCTTCAATCAAACAAGCAACTAAAATTCAAAGCACGTGTAGTTACCTGATCTATCACATGCCCACCTGCTTCACGTCCTTGTACAATGATTGCATCTACTCCAACATCAATGGCCTTTTCTGCTGCTTCAATACTCCCAACCTTGTTCACACAGGCAGCTCGACAGTCAATCATCAGAGAAATCCTCTGGATTTACCAGTCCAGCTGTCTACGAAAGTGAGTTCAGATGGCATGTTAAACCCAAGACATAATTATGGGAGCAAAATATACCCAGTGATCTTTGTCATGAAAATAATTCACAAGACAAGACTCTTGTAACCTAGAGCTACAGAACTTGGACTATACAGGTTAAATCTCAGAGTTGCGGATCTTTGGAAGTGGCAAAATTTACCAGATCAGAAGTTCAGGACATGAACCTCCAAAGTCTAAAATCAGAGTATGACAGCTGAATTAACTAACTCATCAAATCACTGCACTACCACATGATCATAGCTCAGCAAGTACCTCCACATAAATAAATTCAAACAACGCATATGTAGCAAATCCCAATGGATGAAGCCATGTTTCTAAACCAGCAAAGATCCACAAGGCTAGTTTTCACAACAACAAGAAAAAAACATAGAAAACAAAGCAAAAGAATTAGAATGACAAAGGAAATCTGTATTGATTGAGCTGATAGCAACATCGCCTGCATACCACTAAAGCAAACTCTAAGAAATCTATGAGCGACCCAAATGTTTCAATCTGAGAGCTCCAGCGTTGGGCAAGACAGGAATCACTAGTTTATGTGTTTCGAGGACCTTCTAACAATATACCATAGCATACAAATTTTAGAAAATTAAATACAGCCCATGCAGGAGGTTGAACAGTATATATTAAGCTCTCAAAAGAGTTAATTAAGGCCTCCAAGAGTCCTGGCAAGCAATGGGGACCAGGTGATGGGAAGAGTCAGGCGACCTGAGTTGGCTACCCTTGACTTCATGTTTATACGTCTGAGGGGCTATCTAAATAAATACTCCGTAATAAACTTTATTATTTCCTCTTGCCAATGGCTGTCAATACATTGGTCTAACCTTATATCTAAGAGCAAACTAGAAGAAAACTCCATGAAACCTCCCAAAGACCATCCATCCCCATTATGGGTTGTGACTTGTGAGTAACTTCCTTAGTCATAGCCAAGATCTACTGGTGCACATCTGACATATCAGGTTCCTATCACTGATAACGGTATTGGGTGGTATTGCAATTCAGACAGTCAATGTTTTTTAGGTATAATTAGGATGCAGCTAAGCCTACTATACATTGATATTGTCGTACTAAATCGACTACCAATAGGTCACCAGGGAAAATACTTGCATCTATTCTCACTGACTACTTGATCCAATAAATTTTAATATGTGTTTCAATAGCTTTTGAGGATCAGCACAATAAATTTAAATATATGACGATATAGCCAAAAACAACTCTGCATACCAAAATATGCAAAAAAAAAAATCTAAACTTACTTGGAGAACAACTTTGACACCAGCGTCATGAGCTCTATGAACAAGCTCTTCAGATACTTCACCCCAATATAATTGCAGTACAGCCACTTTCTCCTCAAGTATAGCTTTCACATTTTCTTTATGAGGAAATGCCAAAACAACGCCAATGCCAAAGGGTTTGTCAGTCAAGGTCCGAGTCTTCCTTATCATCCCCCTTACATAATCTGGGCATTCCTGCCAAAAATGATCATACTAAACTGTCAAGAGTGTCAACTAAGTCTGCATGGAGTAATGACTATTATTTCTATGTAACATTATAGTTAACATCAGGAAAAAATAAAGGGGGGGGGGGGGGGGGGACATGGTTTATTTAAATTCCACTGATCATCCTCTTTCTCTCTACAAAAAATAATCCTTTTTTTCCAGAGTTTCTGTAACAAAATGATCTTTCTAAACATAGGTGGTCAGCATGGTTATTATATCTCTGGGAAACACATCAGCATACTGAAACTGATAGAGAAAATCCACCACGGTGGTGTCAACAAGAAAATTTATTATGGCCTATACTAATAAGGGAAGGCCAGACTAATCTCATTTTTATTATTCTCAGCTTAAATACAACATGATAGAGGTAAAGAAACATACAAATATGAAAATGAAACTTGGAATAGCAACTATCTAAAGGAAACATAGACTTGCCCTAACCAGATAACAAGTTGCTAAAACTTAAGATCCCAGCTTGAACCAAATTTAATATAATGCTAGTTGGAAGCTCTACGAAGATGAGCAAAAACATTTTGTCTTCACCTAGCTTACAATCTATCATAGATATTTCGAAAATTCAAGCACTACTCTCCCCTGCACACCAGCCCAAATAAATATCCAATATGAGGATCACAGCTTTCTTGCTTCACTCCGACTTATCATCCTATAAGGTAAGGAATCTGATTGTAATTTACAACTGGGAACTGGGAAACACATAGTAGTCATACAAATTCATAAAATTTGATGATTACTTTTTTAAAAAACTATGAAGGTATCAATTCATAATTCATATCAACTTCTCACCTTCAGGGTTAGTCCTTGATTATTGAAAATCGCTTACAATTTTACATCTAAAGGCTCAAACTCACTTCGGGATTTCAAGGAGTCGAATCCATACAAATTTATCAGGCAGCTGTGAGTTTGGAAGTGGGTCAAATTGAATAATTCAATTTTAGTTGTTCAGATAAGCCTTAGTCTCCTCTTACCCAATACATATTATTGGATCTTATGTTCAAACTCCCTAATACACTTTCATTGTTATAGCTCTAACAAGTCACCCAACATAATGCAACAACACACATCATTATCATCCTTAGATAAACATCATAATGCAATAATTAACATGACCACCAATAAGCGAAAGGTGAGCAAAGTGATCAACTTCAAACTATGTATCCATCCAACCAATCAATCTTAATTAAATCAATCACAAACTAACTTACATCATTTACATAAATCAAACTTCAAACAAAGCATCCATCCTATGATTCCTATCCATCTATCTATATTGAGAAAAACAGTTAAATAAAACAAATTCATCCATTTATCTATCAATCATGAGATTTACAGTTAATAAATCAACATCAACTACAAATACCCAAAAGCAAATTTCTGATTTTTCTCACACACCAGAATAAAATTTAACAGTCAAATCAAGTAAAAAAGAAATTACAGTTGATTATGATCACTATGTACAACATAAACTCCATAAATTGCCTCTTTTTGGGGGGTTTTTTATGGTTAAATTAAGAACTATGTATGATCATCAAATCGCTGATTATGATTAATTCCGTGTAAAAACCAGAAACAAATAGTCAGTCATAAATTAAATAATTGAATGAAAAAAAATGGGAAGAAATCAAACCCAATCAGGGGCTCGAAGAAGGCCAATTGCACCAGCATTAGCAACCGCAGCAACAAGTTCTGGACCAGAAATGTCGGGACCAAGTGGGGCCTGCACAATTCCATAGTCAAAACCCAGAATTCCATTCCACCCCATTTGTTTTTACCTCTTTCTTCTGTGAAAGTTTTCCTCTTTATCACCATAAAAATGGTGGGGTTTATTTTATGATAAAAAAAATTCAGAAATTGGGGCATCGAATGAGAGAGATTAGATGTGTGTGTGTAAGCGAGGACGTAAGCAAAGGAAAGAGAAAACCATTTTGTAAATTGCATTTTTTTGCAGATGGCGGGCGATAAGCTCAGAATTTTCCATTGTTTCCTGTTTTTTACGAAGTTCGTTTTTCTTTTTTTTTTTTTAATAATTTATTAGGAAACACCGAAGCACTACTAGGGTGAGCAATACTGAGCATGGGTCGAGTACCTGTACCGTTAACATTATGGGTTCAGGTATCCGATAACCAATAACACTAAATATGATATCTATTAACCGAACTGATAAGTTCGGGTACTTGAATTGTCAGATCGGTTATTGGGTACCCAATATGCTATCCAATAATGAAAATTTAGACTTTATAATCTAGTTATTATGATATCATTCAACACTTATTAACAATAATACCATATGATCATGACCAAATTACTAATAATATTACTACGGCTATTTCACCAAATGTCACTGAGCACTTTAATAATTCACCCAAGGTTTTCAAAATTCACCAAATGCCACCGAGTTTTAAAAAAATTCACCAAGTGCCATTAATGACTAACAGTCGTTAGTTGGCCGTCAGTGTCCATTAGTTGACTGTTAGTTGACCCCATCACTTGCCACGTGTCACCTTCTGATTGATCTGTTTTTTAAAAAAAAAATTAAACAAGATTAAAAATAAAAAATAAACCAAAATATTTTGGAAAAAAAAACCACCAAATCACCACCCACCACCCCTTCTACCACCCTCACCGGCAGGCGTGCCGGCCGCCCCACCCCTTCCTCATTCCCTCTCCGTCATCTTTCCACCATCATTAAAACCCACATTCAAGCTCGAAGGCAAGAACACAACATGCTCATTTCTTCACCATTTTCTACAAAATTACTATCAAAATGCTCACAATCAAGAATGCAACAACATGGGACAAACAATTTCATCAAACAAACATTACACGAGAAAGCCCCAAATCGATTTTTCAAAGGGGGTTTTCGAATTTTTCACAAATTTAATTTGCATGAAATTCGACAATGAAGCAAGGATTATAAATGAAAATACTTACATTGCAATGAGAAGAAGAAATTACACACAAATTGCAAAGAAAACCAGCGGAATTCGAGCAAAAAAACGAGCACCCACGAATCGAAAAGGGGTTTCGGGTTGTGTGGGTGGGTGACCGGAAACAAAAAGGGGAGGGAAAGGGTGTTTTGGGTGGGATGGCCGGAAATCGAAAAAGGGAGGGGAATGGGGTATTGGGTGGGGTTACAGGAGTCGAAAAGGGGAGGGGAATGGCTGGGAGGCTGGCGGACTTTCGCTCTCCTCTTTGCTGTGCTTCTCCCTCCCCTTCCCCTTCCCCTTCCCCTTCCCGGCGGCAGGGGAGGCTGGCCTAGCTGGCTCCCTGGTGGCTGGCTTTTTTTTTTTTTTTGTTATTTTAAGATTTTTTTAAAATTGAACTAATCATATCATGACATGTGTCATGATTAAACCCTAATGACTAACGGAGTTAACGGCCGTCATTCATTAATGGCACTCGGTGAATTTTTTTAAAACTCGGTGCATTTTGTGAATTTTGAAAACCTTGATGGCATTTGGTGAATTATTAAAGTGCTCAGTGGCATTTGGTGAAATCGCCGTAAAATCAAAGAACCTAGACACCAATCACCAACCTGTTTTATTTAACTATTCAAAGCTAGTAGCTACCTCATCTCTTTACAATTAGAGAAAATACGAGCGGCTATTTCACCAAATGTCACTGAGCACTTTAGTAATTCACCAAATGCTATCAACCTTTTCAAAATTCACCAAATGCCACTGACAAATAATGCATTGACACCTCGTTCCATTAATGAGGTCTGCACGTTAGTTGTCCATTACTGCGAAATTACTATTTTGCCCTTTAGTGTGTTTAATGGCACCATAAAGCACATTGACTCTCTGATTTGACCTATTCAATTCAAAAAAAAAAAAAAAAAAAAACTTCCCCCTTCTCTTATTGTTCTTCCTCAACCTATCTCCTATTCTTCGAGGTTTCACCATCATTCAAACCTTCAAATCTATGAACAAGGAAGAAGCGTATTGTAACAGCTGAACGACACGCGCAACAAGATCCAAGCTTTAACTGTTGTTGAATCTGGGCGAACCAAAAAGCGGTCACAAGTAGTGGAAGAAGTCGAAGGAAATCGCGAGTGGTGAAAAAAATTTTGAGGCTTTGGAGATAGCACGCAAGGTAATAATCTTTCTATTGATCTTCATTACGCGTACTAATTCCGATTTTTTTTTTTTTGCGGAAATTGAGTTAGGGTTAGGGTTTTCTCAAATGATCAGTTTAATGTGCTTATTTGACTTGACCTTTGTGAATTATTGTTAAAAACCTCATTTGTGGGTATGAATTTGGCAATGTGTGTATTGGTATGTTAGGGTTTGCGTTTTTCACAATATTTGAGTCCTTGAAGAAATTTTGCGAGTTGATCATGATATTTAGTTTGGTATGTGTTTGTTGATATGAATGATGTGTGTTGATATGAATGATGTATTGGTTGAGGATACTGACAGAACTAGTCTAATAAACCTGTATGAGTTCATGTTTGAGGATTCTGTCAAGCAAAATGTGATCCTCCCTAAATACTTTAGCTTGTCTATTTAGCCACCTAGAACTAATAGAAAGTTGGAGTTATGTGGGGATAGTCATATGCTGAAAATGTGGGAGTGGAATGAGGATAGGGAAACAATAGAAGTATTCTTAGAGGAAAAGGAAAGTCCTAGTTTGGTGTTTAAGGATGTTGAAGCAAGTTGGGAAAAAAGGGTTAAGGCAATGGTTGAGAAGGCTAGAGTGGATCAGGAAAAGGCCCAGAGGATGGCTAAAGAAGAGGATGCTGAGAGGGAGCTTATGGAACAGCAACGTTTTAAAGTTGCAGTTGAGGTTCCTATTATTGTTAATGCTGATGACTCAAATGTTGAGTATGTAAGAGTGTTTCACACTCCAGTAGCTGATGAGGTTTTCCATGAAGCATCTCAGCCTGAGCCTGAACGAAGTACTCAGCCCTTAACTCCACCTAAACACTCTCAACCAACTTCTCCTATGAACCAGCCCAAAACCACATGTTCTAGGAAGAAAATGTCACCTAGGAAAAGGAAAAGCACACCAAAAAAAAGGCCAACTCAAAGATCCCTACCTTCTCCTCAACCATGCACAAACATCCCAACCTTCTCCTCAACCACAAACATCCCAACCTTCTACTGAACCAACACCAGTCTCACCACCAGTTTCTCCTCAACCACAAACAGCACCAGTTTCATCTCAACCCCAACCTCCTACTAAACCTAAAAAGGGAGGTAGATCAAGATCTGAGGGATTTAGGTCAAAAAAGAGTGCTGCAAAAAAGGTTAATGCTGAGGGGTAAGGTGTTGCTTTAAGGAGATCAGAAAGAAATAGAAATGGAACAGAGCACCTACTGTTAATTTAAGTGAGGAGAGGTCTGATGAGTCTGGTAGTGATAGTGATAGTGAAGATGATGATTACATACAATTTGGCAGTGAAGAAGATGATGATGAGACAGATTTGGTGACTTAATAGAGGATGAGATAGAAATAGATTGCCTTCATGATGACATTCCTGACAAGCAATTTGAGGATTACCTTGATGGCAGTTCAACCATGGATAAGACCTATGGAGTTATGGGATTGATAGGAATAGTGAGATTTTTCTCATTGCCTATGGAGTGGTTGGTTCTGAGAGTATTGACAGCTGGGGTTATTTTCTGAGGAATTTGAAATGCCTTTTTGAGAAGGAAGGGTGAAGGAGAGATGATTGGACCTTCATCTCCGACAGAATGAAGGTAAGCCACCTGGAAACTAGTTTATTACATGTGATTTACTATTTTGTTTTTTTAAATCTCAGCCATTAAACTATTTTCTTTGCAGGGTGTTGACACAACAATTCATGAAACATTCCCTAGAGCAACTAGAAGAGTATGTTGCCATCACTTGTACATGAACTGCAAGACCAATGGATTCAGTGGTTCAGCCTTTCATAAGCTTTTCGGAATAGCAGCTGATACATACAATGAGTATGTATTCAATAAAGCAATGCAGAAGATACATGAGTACAATCCTAAGGTTGTTGAATACTTAGAGAGCTGCACTGAGTTATGGTCAAGACATAAGTTTTATCCTGCACTCTGTTGTGATCATAACACAACAAATTTTGTAGAATCTTTCAACTCATGCACAAAGCCCTACATAGATCTACCTGTTCCGAAACTACTTGAAGGTATTCACTGCCACCCATTAAATGTTGTAACTACTTGCATCAACACAAGTGCCCTGCATTCTTTTTGTTTTACAATTTTTGTGCATGTTGTTTTATAGCTATAAGGAAGTGGGGCATGAAGAGGATTGGCTCAAGGTTTGACAAAGCTATAGGCATGGGGGATATGGAGCTGACTGAATATGCAGCCAAGATTTTGCAAATAAGATCAGATGAGTCTAGGTTGTGCTATGCAACCCCATGTGGTGGTGATGAGTTTGAGGTGAGAGACCAACATGTGCATTTTCCCATCAAGATGAACACTGACACTTGTGGTTGTGGGAAGTGGCAACATTCAGGAAAGAAACGCTGCAACTGAAGCAAGCACATCAAACACCTCCTCTCAACCCAAGAAGAAAACAAAGAGAGCAGCATGAATGCATGCACTGCCACTCGGCTTTTTAATGCACAGCCAGTTTATCCATGTATTTTTTGAACATTAACAGTGTAGTGTGTGCTATGTTGTCTAGTTTTTTTTTTTTACATATCCTTGTAATTTTTGGGTTAACTTATTTAAACAGGAAGCAATTTTTGGGGCACATGATTTGAACAGGAAGCTATTATACACTATGCTTAAATGAAAGTGTATTTAAATGTGCATATGATTTAATTTCCCTCTTTATTAAATTTCATTGCAATTACAATAGTTCACTTCATCATTACAATCACAACTATTACACACATCAGTACCCCTAATTTCATAATACAATTGAGAACTTTTTGCTGCTGCTTGATTTTATTCTTCAATTGTTTCAATTCTTCATGCAAATTGCTTTGTCCTGAGCCATCCCTTACATATCAGCTTCCCCTGCTCTAACCTTCTTCATGCATCTGAACTTTGCACCATTTGAAGCTATTACATGAATCACACTTACAAAATGCAATCTGATTTTTTTGTTGGCCAATAAGGAGCTGCCAACTCATCAGCAAAAAAGTTGTTGATTTTTATAAAAGAAATAAATATATAAATAGTGAATCTGAAGTGAGTTTTGGGG